TGTGGTTGCTCAGATGACAAAACTATTCCAAATGCAACGACTACAAGTGTCCTAAGGACACAGTATATGATGTAGATATATACCACGATGGGTCGCAGTGATTCTGCAGTATCCTCAGTGGAGATGAAGGAGGAGGGAGATGATACGTCTCTGGTGCCCTTGCTGTTGACCCAGGTGTCATCAGTGATCTCTCAGCAGGGCTCAGCTCAGCCCCATGGCCAGTCTCCTGGAAGGTCCGAAGTCCTGCTCAGTGTGACCTAGGACAGACCACAGGACACAGAGTTTTGGGACAGGTTTGGGACATGTTGCTAATCCCCAGGAAGGTGACTGTGCTCACAGGTATTGGAGGCCCAGCCTGATTTTCTTACTAGAGAAGCAGATGAGGAAGTTGAGGACTCACCCCTTCTTTCTTAGTTTCTTGTGCTGCCCCCAGAGCTGAGCTGAGTGACATCCCACCATGAGGAGTCCCAGAGAAGTAAATTTGCATAAACACGAAACACGTACTGCCCCAATGGGCCTGAGAGGAGATAAGAGAGACCTGGGGAGACGAGCTGTGCTGCGGGCTCAGGAGACAGAGCTCTGGGTGTCTCACCAGGGCCTGGACCCCTCTCCTCCTCCCCCTCTGCACCCTATGCACAGGTGCTGCCCCAAAGACCTGTCCCATGCTCAGCCCTCACAGGTCCCTGAGTTGGTGCTGTCCTGAATCCTGAGCTCAGCCCAGGCATAGCCTCAGGGTGACACCACTGGAAATGTGTTTGTTATCTTCAAGCCCCCTCTCCTGTCCTCTCTTGCAGGCTCTGTGGCTTCCTATGGGCTGATACAGCCACCCTCAGTGTCCACGTCCCCAGGACAGACAGCCAGGATCACCTGCTCTGAAGATGTATGAGGGAAAATTATGCTGATTGTTAGCAGCAGAAGCCAGGTCAGTCCCCTGTGCTGGTGATATATGAAGACAGTGAGCAGCCCTCTGGAATCCCTGTGCCATCCTCTGGGTCCACCCCAGGGAACACACCCACCCTGACCATCAGCAGGGCCCTGACTGACAATGAGGCTGACTATTACTGTTTTTCTGGGAATACTGACAGTTTCACAGTGACACAGGCAGATGGGAAAGTGAGAGGCAAACCCCTTGCCCACGTGTGTTATCTTCTTCCTTCAGCACCAGAAAGACTGTGGACAAAGCCATGAGCAGTTCCGGCCAAGTTCTACTGGAGCTGAGACCTCTAGGCCATGATTTGTCCAGCCCTCCAGGCTGGCCCAGCAGAAGGAGGTGTAGGAGTGGATCTAGGGCTGCTATAATCAGAATTTACTGGTGTTTTCAGGCCTCA